AAAAAGCATAAGTAAAAAATAGAAAAAAGTACTTAAACTGAGGTTTAGAGAGAAGCTAAGTCTTAAAGTTGATATGCCCAAACAGGTTTTGACAATACTAACAATGGGAACACTGCCAGAAGGGCATTTGAAAATACTGGAACTTTTGCTGATATAACAGGAGTGGCAGTAGATGTAGTTATTAGATTGAGGAAAACCCTAGTATCAGTATGCTCCTGTATGAGTTGAACTCTGAAGGTTTTGGCCACTATTGCTATGAAACTACAGCCCTTATACTCAAAAACTATTGCTGGTATGTAACTACCCAAACTGTTCATAAACTCTTGGAACATGGTGTGCAGATATTTGAGGCATTGGAACTGTAATTTGCTTATTACTCTGAGGAGTCACAAGAGGTTCTGAATATTCGCAAAGCTAGATTGAAACATCGATATCGGCTAACCAGATTTTTCTGAAAAAAAAAAGAGTATGTTTCCTAAATTCAACCGTAGCCCAAAAAACGTTGGGTTTTAATGATTTTATTAAAAACCTTTTAATGTAAAAAAGGTTGAAAACACAAGTAAAATCTCTGTATTTTATACTTCAAAAAAAGGTTGAAAACACAAGTAAGACATCTGTATATTATACATTGAAAACACAAGTAAAAACTATGTATATTATACATTGAAAAAAGGTTGGAAACACAAGGAAAAACTCTGTATATTATACTTCGAAAAAAGGTTGAAAACACAAGTAAAATATATGTATATTATACATTGAAAACACAAGTAAAAACTATGTATATTATACATCAAAAAAAGGTTGAAAACACAAGTAAAATCTCTGTATATTATACATCGAAAAAGGTTGAAAACACAAGGGTGTATGTATAGCCAATACAATCTATGATATATTATATAAAAATCATTTATAGATACTTTTCAGAATATTTTGCTTTTTGTAACAAATGTTTGTTTCTTTTTATTTCTTCGTAAAATTGATCGCATGTACTAATTTTTAAATGGCTTGTCTTTTGTCCAATATTGACCCACTAAACTAAACAAGCGTTCACATTCTGCATTAGTCCCTGGAACAGTAAATAAAAATGCAGCAAGCATTTCCAGCAGTTGAAGCTTTACTACAGCATTGCCATTATTTAAACCTTCTAAAACAATTTTCCATCTAGAAAACATAGGAACAGATTCAGCTTCCCAGTTTTCCAGATTTATATCTAAACAAGCTTTGATAAAACAATAAGAGTCAAAAATTTCATTATCATCTATGACAGAAATAGGTAATGATTTAGTTTTATTAAGGAAATAAATGTACATTTCTTTAAAATCCTCATATGAAAATTTTTCCTTTAACAAAAGGTATTACATATTCCTTGCTTCATTGCAAAATCTACCAGACCACTTTTTTAAATAATAAATTATTGTGCTATAAAATTTCACTACAATAGAAATAAAATGATCTCTATCTAATATTCCTCCTGCTTCTAGTTTTTTTAAAAGATTATCTGCCATAAATGGTATAAATCTGCTTTCAATTCTATTTTCATAATTAGCTAATAGTTTGTAAAACTCAGCTGATACTTCCACTGCACTTTTATCGTTTCCTTCTATCTTTTTCACAGTCTCACCAAACAAATGAAATTGGGGTTAAAGGAAAAGTAACCAAAATTCAGAAGATCCAGAATTAAAAAAATTAAAAATTGCAAGTGGTGAATTTTCCTCACTTAGAAAATATGACTTCAAAGGTTCATACATTCTAAGTATTCTGTCTATGCATGGCGATAAAGATAGCCATCGTGTTTTTGAATGTGATAGAACCATTTTAAATTGGCATCCAATGAAGACACAAAATTCTTTCAACGTTTCTGTTCGAAGAGTAAATATATTAAAATGATGATATATTTTAAACATTTTATTTTAGAATTATCTTTGAAGTAGCTGCAGATAGGGCATTATGCACTCTATGAGCAGCGCAGCCTATTGTTAAAATTTCTCCCTTTAAATCCTTTTCAAGCTTTGAATACATATTATTTTCAGTTTTTTTACTTGATAAAGCACCAAAGTTAACTGCTGCATTATCTGCTGAAAATCCAATTATTTTATCACGTATATTGTAAAAATTTATATCTTCTAAAACAACTTTTGTTATTGTTTCTGCTGTTTCATTTGGAAGATTATGAACTTTCAAAATACTATACTTAATTTCAATAGCAGGTTTAACAACACAGTATCTTACTACAGTATCTTACTAGAAGTTTCGTATTTTTGTGGTTCGATGTATCACATGCGACAACAACAAATTTTGTGTTCTTCAAGTCTTTGTTTAACAAATCTTCAGACCAATTTAAAATTATATTATTTACAAGACACTCTGACTTGGTTCTTCCACACGCAAACTTATAATCACAAGATTTTCTCAATAAATTTGATGTGCAGTCCATATCCCTAAAAGAATGATCGTGCTTTACGTTATGGTATGACCATAGAAGTTCAAGGGTAAGTTTTGCTTTATAAGTAGTTCAATCCTTACAGCGAAAAAAGTCTCTTTTTGAGTTGTAGAAACTGATGAACATTTTTTATGCTTTCTTGAAGCTGCGTGTTGAATAATATCAAATTTGCCTTTATTAATTATAGAAACTGTTGTAGGTACGTGCGTATCTGGTTTTTTACGGCACCGATTTATAAGTTAAAAACTGTGACCTTTTTTTTCACAGCATGCTCGAAGTCGGTGTGGTAAGGATGTATTTATTTGTCTTTTTTTTTAGAATTTTATATCAGCTTAGATTTTTTTAAAAAAGTAGAATGTTTTATGTTGAATAAATTATGTTTTTTTTTTTTTCAAGTATTAAGTTTTTTAGTGATTTTATTGCTATTTAAAATTTTGTTTGTGTTCTGGAAGTGCATTGATATTGAAGGCATGTTGCTACACTTTTAAAATTTTCCAGTCAACAGTATAAATCTATTTTCTATGTGCCTGCCAAATTTCATTAAAAAAAATTTATGCCCAAATACCCTATTTTTCCACCTAGTGGAGGTACATTTTCCACCTTTTTTACAATTACTGTTACTGTTACACTTTATTAAACTGTTTCTGTTACTGTTACTGTTACTTCTTGAAATAAATTCCTTTGTTTTCTTTACATTTACCAGTGATTTTTATAAAATTTTGAAATTTCGTTTCTGTTCTGGAGGTAATTTAATGTTGAAGGCATGTTGCTACACTTTTACAATTTTCCAGTCAACAGTATAAATCTATTTTCTATGTGCCTGCCAAATTTCATTAAAAAATATTTATGCCCAGACACCCTATTTTATCGTGCAGTGGAGGTATGTATTTTTACTTCCGTTACATAGTTTAAGGCGGGGGGGGGGGGGGGGGAATTTGCCGGTGTTAGCCAGTGAGCATTCAGTATACTTGTTTTTCTATTCATAATAATGAAATATTTTATAAGAACTTTCATTAAAAAGTTTTACTTTTTTAAAGTAGTCTTTTATTAATAATAATACTGTTGATTTTTTTAAATAATTGTATAATCATTTATTGTGTTATTTATTGTATATATTTTTTTATTGCTTACTCTTTTTTCTAACTCCACTAACTCCTTTTTAGAAATTCAGCCTGTAGCTTTAGCACTTCTTCCCTAAATTTAAATTTCTCCTCAGTTAAGTAACTCTCCATATCAACAGTTGGCTGGTGGAGAGCTAAAGTGAGTTGTTTTTTTTTCCAGACAAATTTTGGTCATTTTTTAACATATCATCATTTTGCTTGTAGATCGTTTAGTTTGTCCTGAGTTGTCTTAGTTCCTATTTTTTGATGTAATTGCAGTGTGTAGCATTAATCACAACTGGATTAACACTATTCTGTATATTGCAAACAAAATCGATGCTATTGGTTTCCACCCCTTCCAAACCAAAAAATATTGGAGAATTTTCTCCGTATATATCCAATATTTTCTGGCTGATTTTTGTTAATATTACAGCTGGTCCTCCCCCCGTCGGAGTTTTTTTTGTTGATGAAATCTCTTTTTTGGCATTTTTAAGAAGATTATCCCACAAACCTTTCACACTGGTAACTATGGTAACTGTTCTTTTATCAAATCCTAAGCTGTTTACAGCATCGGTGATCTAAAATACACATAAGTACCAAAATTTATAATGCTGCCTATACTAATTTTTTAATTCAATATATATAATATAAAGGATTACCTCATTATACGATTTCTTCGTTTATTTATCTCCGCCTTTCCATCTTTAGACAAAAGAACATCTTTATGTTCTTCAAACTTTCAAATTACCAACCATTTCTCTTCTGAGACATATACTTTTCCTCTGGCTGCACGTTTTTTCTCAACTTTTATAGTTGATACTGCCAATGTTTTAAAAAAAATGTCTTACTTATAATCTGTATATAATATACTAATAACTTATATATACGATACTAATAATTGTATGAATAAAATAAATATTTTTAAACAGTATGTAATAAATTTGTAATGTCATTAAAATAAAGTATTAAGTGTTTTATACTTTAGTCTAGACTTATTTTTAATGAATAGTGAAACATTTTAAAGATTCCCTAGGGTAACAAGTGTTAATTACTATTGATGGTATTTTTGAAACATTGCCAGGAAATTGTTTTTTGTAACGAGTCTGTGTCGCAATAACACGTAAATGGTCTAAATAAAAATAAAACTGAAAGTAGTAAGAATTGAAAATATTCAAAGACAATGCCTCGACTCGTTCGTATGCATTTAGTTTTCGCAGAAGTAAGACGTCAAGAAATAACAGTCCGGCGAGGTCTTAGGCGTGAAAGGTTATTTAGAGACCGAACCAACCCACTTGATATTTATGATGATGTTGACTTATATCAAAGGTTTAGGTTTCGTCGAGCTTTTATTTTTTATTAGGAAAATTTGCTGAAAACAGATTTACAATCAAAGTCAAATCAAAGTTTTTGTGTTGCGCCAATCTATCAAGTATTAAGCGCACTTCGATTTTATGCAACAGGATCTTTCCAGATTGTGATTGGTGATTCTACAGCAGCTTTAAGTCAACCAACTATTTCTAGAATTATTCTCCAAGTTTTTTTGAGTCTTGCAAAAAGAGTTAATGAATACATTAAGTACCCAACTGATCCACACGTTTTAAATGAGAGCAGAGTAAATTTTTAGATTGTTGCAGAATTTCCAAGAAGAAACTGGATTAATAGACGGCACGCACGTTTGCATACAAAAACCACGCGAGCACGAATATGTTTATGCCAATAGATCATCAAATCATTCGATCAATGTTCAAGCGGTGTGTGATTATAACGGAAAGTTCATTGATATTGTTGCAAAATGGCCTGGAAGCACACATAACGCAAGAATTTTAAGAGAATCAAAGCTTGGTAAAAAAATGATAGATGGCACTCTTAAAGGTTTATTACTTGGCGATTCCGGATATTCATGTTTTCGTTGGTTGGTTACGCCGTAAGTCCAACTACAGCAGCTCAGCGTCGGTATAATATATCTTTAAGAAAAATAAGAGTTTTATTTGAACAAGTGTTTGGAAGGTGGAGAAGACGGTTTTATTTGCTTCATGGAGAGGTTCGAATGACCCCAGAAAGAACCTGCACCATAATTGCTGCGTGTGCTGTATTGCAAATTTTAACAATAGAGTTAAATGATGTGGACATAGATGACTATCCAATTGAAAATTATGAAAATAATAATGAAGACATAGTTGCTGAAAATAACTTTCGATTTCGTGATAATTTTGTTTTGCGACATTTTGGACAATAAGTTGTTTTAATATTTTCTATGTCATAAATTATAAAAGTTTTTTTATATTGTAACGTGTTTTAATTAAATTTTTTAAAATTTACGCTGCAGTTAATAATAAAAAAATCAACGGCTGCGATTTTCCAATTAAACAGCTTTATTGTCTGTTGGCATCGCAACGCTTAAATGCCATGAAAAAAACATCACGAAAACTAGTTAACAGAGCTCGCTAACGAAGAAACTTTAACTAAGAAAATTATCGGAGTAGTTAATAAACGGAGTCTAAACGGAATGATTAGAATACCATTAACTTTCATCCGTTTTATAACCGGCCGTTAAAAGTATTTTTCTTAACGTACACTCAAATTCTCCGTTAGTATAACGGAGAGCTGTGAATACGGCGGCTGAGGCCTTACATTGTTATATGTATATTTTTTGTTTTTGTTTATTAATTTTTTGGTTTTTTAGTTTTTTGTTTATCAATTTTTTGGTTTTTTAAATTTTTGTTTGGTTATATATTTGTTGTATATCTTCGTTTGTATTAATTTTTATGAAACAATTTTTTTTTGTTTTGTTTTTTTTTTGTTATTATTATAGTGAGTACTGTTTTGATTCGTTGTCTGTCTTATTTGTTTTGAAATTTTCCTCTATTAATCTTTATTTTTGTCTTGACAACTGTCAAAATATTCTTCGTTCGATAAATAATTCTTCTTTATTCTAATATACTTCATTTCTTCCCTCGGGTGTTCACTGCTCGTGTGTGACCATTCGGCGAATTTTATATGCCATAGTTTTTAAATAATGTTTCTACGGATATTGAAAATTTAGTAACTGTTACTATTCAAATAACAACTAATTAATTTTTGCTTTCTTCTTAAAATATCTAATTTTAAAATTGATCAAACCTATTGGTTATTAAGTTTAATAACCTGTAGCTTATACTTGATTTTTTATTTTAGATTAGCATCTTTAAATTGACTATGCCAAACAAAAAATCATATGAAAACTCTCTTAGTTATCGAAGTGAGTGGGAAAAAAAATTTACCTGGGTAAAAAAAAGCTCTGATGCATTTGAACAAGCTATTTGTCGCCTTTGCCGCACTAATCTACGTCCACACAAAGGTAGCTTGGAGCAACATCAAAAAGCAGTCTCACACATCAAAAGAGAAACAATATTGAATCCATTTCAAAAGAAGATTAATTTTCCGGGTCTAGGAAATATTTCAGGTGCAAACAAAAAAGCAAACATTCAGCTGGCTATGTGTATCTGCTGTCACTCAGCAATTCCAACCGCTGACCATTTGTGTGAAATTATTTCTAAGCTTAGTGTAAGCAGTCCCCTGGAACATCTGAAACTCCACCGTACTAAGTGTACTAAAGTAATCTAAAATGTCATCTCATCGACTCTCGAAGAAGAAATATCTAAAGAAATCAAATCAAAACCGTTTTCCATTCTCATTGATGAATCAACGAATGTGAGTTCAATGAAGCACCTTGCAATATGCGTGAGATATTTTTCAGAAAAAGAGAAACAGATTGTCGATGACTTTCTTGGCCACATTCAAGTGATTTCAACAACTGGCGAAGATCTTTTTAAAGGATACATCTCAGATGGTGCCTCAAATGTTATTGTCATACATAACTCAGCCTGGTCTTGTGTACTAACTAAATCGCCTAACTGTATTATGATGAGGTGCATTTGTCACTCACTAAATCTTGTGGTGTAAAATGCTTTTAATGAAATTCCATTTCCAGTCGGCTTTCTTCTGAGCGAGGTACCCCGGTTTTTTAACAAGAGCATTCTTTGTCGAAACGAATATGAAAAACTATTTGAACTCATGAATCCAAACAATGAACGCGTGGGAACCCCATCCCCTTTTCAAAAGTTTTCTGCAACTCGTTGGTTGGTTCGAGGAAAGTGTTTTTATAACTTGCTTGTAAATTGGCAAGAACTAAAAGCATTCTTTATTTGTGCTGAAATGAATGCTAACTCTGATGTCCGTTACAAAATCTCTTCAATAAGCAAAATGTTCCAAGACAGCACCCTTTATCTCTATGTTGTTTTTCTCACTCCATTCATTCAAGCGTTTGAGCGTCTAAACTCTTTCTTTCAAAAGTTAAATGTTGATCCAGAAGATCTAATGAGTGAGCTAAATATGCATCTTAAAAGCTTAAAGCAGCGTGTTTTTGATACCAAGGGCTTTGTACTTTCTCTACAGTGTTTTGATTTTGGAGTCAAATTCTCTTCATAGTGCCAGATTTACTTTCAAGAGCAACCTCCAAATGCAAAACTGAATGCTGAAGAATCAGGCAGAAATTTAAAAAATCGCTGTCATGATTTTCTTCAAAAGGCTATAACCGAGCTTGAAAAAAGACTACCACATAACAGATCAATTTTTCACGGCTTGTCAAATCTGTCTCCAATGAAAGTTCTTTCCCAAGTTGAAAAAGGTTCTGTTTTCAAATCTACCTTTTCCTCACTTAATGGGTACAAAAAGTCAAGAAATTGAAAACCAATACAGAAAAGTGAGTACCGTTGAATGGACTGAGTCTGCCATTTTTAAAGAAAAAGAAGTTCCTAAAAATACTGTTGAATTCTGGATAGCTTTAAGGGACTATGTCGACATTTTTGGACATCCCGTTTTTCGCAACATTTCCGACTAGTCTGTGTGTTCCTATTTCTAACTGTTTTGTTGAGAGAGTCTTTTCACAGGTCACCTATGTGAAAAGTAAACAGAGAAACAGAATGTCAAACCAAGTATTAGATGCAGTCATTAGAATAAAATCTTATTTAATGAGCCGAAAGATTTGTTGTAAAGACTTTAACATTCCCGAATTAATGATTTCAAAGGTCGGAAATGAAATTTACGCAACAGAAGCATGCGAAAATGAAGACGAACTTCACGTATTAGCGGAACTTTATTAACGGAACTTTATTAAATGTTTTAAAGATTTACACTTAACAAAATAAATTTTTTAATAAAATAGTTCTACTTTACTTAATTTTTTTTTCTGTTCTGGTTTATTTCTGATTTATTTTTTATATTTTTTTGGCTTGTTGCTAAAAAAAACCTGGCAACCCTGATTATAGAATGTCAAACTTTTTTTTTTTTTTTTTTGCACATTTTGAGCGCTTTTGTCTTTTAGTGTACAAAAAAAAAAAAAAAAAAAAAAAAATAGAACAAAATAAAATTAAATTAAGATTTAAGTTACTTAAATATAATAAAGAATATTTCTTTCATAAACATGGTGCACCATGTTTATAAAAGAAATATTCTTTATTATATTTAATTAACTTGAATCTTAGTTTAATTTTTTTTTTTTTTTGGCACACTAAAAGACAAAAAAAAACGATAAAAAAGATAAAAAAACGGCAAATAAAGCACCATGGTGCTTTAATTCATAAACCTAAACCCGTTTTTAATTTGCTATTTCAATGCTTTTATTAATGTAATTTCAATGTTTTAATTTTATTGATAGTCATTGTAGTTGTTTCTCAACTATTAACGTTTTAACTCCATCCACTTGATATATGTCTTATACTAGTGAGACAAACGTTAGTTTGTGCAATTAAAATTCGTGCCATAACTGTTATGATATATATTTTAAATAAAATAAAAGAAATTAAAGTTTAATATAACTCAAATAATAATACTGCAGTTAACCTTGTGTTGTCACGACTATTAAATAATTCGACTGTCGTCTAAATCAACTAGTATACTTTTAAAGTCGAATAAAATTGACTAATACATTCTTGAAATCAACTAAGTCGAATAAAAGTCGATTTACTCGAAGTAACGGAAAATTTATTTTTTTTAAATAAATTGTGATAAAAGTAATAAAGTAATTTATGTTTGATTTCTATTTTTTAGTATAACATCATTTAAATAATAATGGAGCAAGGCAATATGAGAGAATGCCTGCTCCGACAACAGGACAAACTATTCCCAGACCCCAGTGATTTAAAGACTGTCTTTAATACTTGAGATATATCAAAAAGTCATTACAATCCAGAACCGTAACCACAATTTTCATATTAGGGAGGGCCCATATTACATATTAAAGACTTTTTTTTTTGGGCACCCATTTTAGGGGCCCAGAGATAGGGAGAGGCCCAAACATAGCAGGAGAAAAGCCCGCAACCCCAAGAACTATAGCCTATAGTTCTTTTAAAGTAGGGAGAAGATAAAATATTTGTTAAAAATATACGTTTTTTCCTAATAATTATAGTTTAACAATTTTTTTTTGGGAGGGGTTCTAGCTCCTTGGCCCCCCTTTCCAGTGGTTAGGACTCTGCAATCATATTTACAATATGATTTTATAGATTGATTATACCACATTTAGATTTTGTAGCTTCACAACTTAGTTTTTCACCTGGGCCCCGAACAAGGTTAGAGCGGCTCTGTATGAAAGTGTTTATGAAAATCATAAGCTTTGAGTAAACAAAAAATATATATATTTAATGAAATACATAATTGAAAGTTTAATTAGGTATAAATAATGCTAACATGCTATGAATTAGATAAACTTTTTAGAGAATAAACAAAAAAACTACGTAACAGTTATAATAGTATATACAATTGTTACTAAATAAAAAAAAAAAAATTAAAGATTGAAAAGTTAAATTTTTTGAAAAGATATAAGAGTATTAAGATTTTTATTCGACTAAATTACCAAAGAAAAAAAAAATTAACTTTTAGTCAATTAGTAGGAAGGTTTTTCAAAGTCTAATAATACTAATTTTGACTTACACTAAGCAAAGCCGAGTTAAGTACTTCTCGGCCTCCCGGCACTTAAGGTTTCCTGGCCTCTGTTGGTATCTTCGTATTCGAATTTAACAGTTGTTTAAAAAAAAAAAAATTTTGTTATTGTTGCGCTATGGTTTCTAATGTATTTTCTTTCTTATTTAAACAAGCATCTTGCGTTATTTTTTTTAAAAAAACACGCTGCGATTAGAATAGGTTTAAAAATACCTAGAGTTCTGTATATTATAAGTATTTTTTATGTTGGTTATATACCTGAAGCTGAACAATGAACACTTTTGATTCTTTTTAATGTTGAAAGTGAACGTTCTCCGGAACAATTTTTTGCAGTGGTTGTCAAAAAGATTTGAAGGGCTACGTCAAAGTTGAAGAATATTGATTCAAGATTCTCTAATTAGTTTAATAAAATCTAGAGCTGAAGTTTTGATTAAGTGATCTCCGAGATATCCATGCTGTAGAGATTTGCCAAAAACGTGGCTTCCTTTTCATATTGCTCGAAATAGGAGCAAACTTGCTGCATTTAATGCTCCAAGGAGTTGTACAGTTCTTCAACCATACCTAAATCAGGCTTGACGGACTGCAGTTTCTTTTTAACTTCGTTGAACTTCTCCTTGATTATTTTCCAAATGATTATTAAATTAGCTGTCTCAAGTTGTTCCATTTTATTTAAAGCTCGTTTTTGCTTTCTGAGTAGGATCGTCGTTAAGATCAAGAAAAGCCGCCTATATAGAAAATATTTGTTAATAAGTATTAACAAACATTTCTAAAAATAACGAATCACAAATGAAATATGTTTTTATTTGATTTTCTGAACAATTCTTAATCACCTTGTAAACAGAATAACTCTATTACTTTGTATTTGCTTGATATATTTATTAAATTTGTTTTTTTTTCACCATTACATTCGAATTTGAAACTTTTTTCAAGTCGTTAAAATAAACGTCCGGTTCGCGATAAGCCGTATGTGTTGTTATTGCAAAGATTAAAAATCTCTTGGACATAAAGGAAGTTAAGGATAGAGGCCGATATTTCAAATTTTATATCGTTTAAAATTTTACTTAGATGCTCTGGCCCCTTGAACTCTGTGGCCTCCCGGCACGTATCCAGTGTGTCCGTGGGTTAAACCGGCACTGACACTAAGTTAACCTTAATCTTCTACTTTGATGAAACATTTTTATATTTATGCACAATTAAGCTATACATAAAAAAAAAAGTTACATACCCTCAACCGTTGAAACAAACTCTCTCCCATCTCTATCCAAATTAGTTGAAAGTATTTGAAACATTTTTTTTAATTTTTCATTATTTTGAAATGTTTTTATGCTCACACCCATTTTATGCATATTTAATGTTATGTTGTCAAATAAGAGACTTTGCATAAGTTCCTTACTCATATCTTTAAACAATCGACTTTTGTATGCCATTTGAGTGAAATTTAATGGTATCGTGAGGTTCTCAGAATCGAAAAAGCTGGTTGAATTCTCTTGCGCAACAATTTCATGCAATGTTTCAAAGCCAAGACATATCCCAAACAATGGATAGTAAACACCTTTATTATTCAATTCTACTGCAACTTTATAAGCAATTACTGAAGCATCCCAGTAGCTTGATTCATTGAACGGCGCAGCACCTCCTGGTAATAAAACTCCATTTACTTTTCTTATAACTCTTTCTATTCGTTTTTTATTCCAAGTAGATATAATTGGTACAACTTCTGCACCTGCCATTTCCAAGAACTTAACATAAGAGGAAGCAATATAAGTTGAGTTATATGGAACCAGCGGTTCAAACACTTCACTTGTTTTTTGTGTGATAATCCCTAATACCGGACGTAAGTTGAGCTCACTTTCTACTTCACAAACAATAAAGATAAGAAATAATGCTGTTTGAACCAAGTTTACAAAGTTTCTCATTTTTATATGTTTATAAGTCTAAACCCACAAGCTTCCTTATTTTAAAGAAAGTTTGAAAAATTTGTAAAAAAAAACTTTAATTTTGTTTTTTTCAAAAATGCAGGTATTTTAATAAACTTTTTAAAAAAGTTTACAAAAATACCTGCATTTTCATACGCAAAATAATGTCATAAACATTAAGTTAGTGAATCGGAATATAACCATAAACAAAAGTTTTTTTTTAAAAGCGTGAAGCATAAACTTGAAACATAGTTTTCAGTTTGATAGTTGTTTAATATTTAAAAAGATAATATTAATGTTTTTTAAACGAACTTTAAATATCTGTATTAAGAGATATGTCTAGTCTTCAAAATCATTTTTTGATAATACGTCAGTTTAAAATAAAAATCAACAAACTTTAATTTAATTTTAACTAAAAGACCGAAAGTTTCAACTATATAATTACTATTACTAACAATTACTAGCAAACTTTGTGTGTGGAACCGATCCAGATAATAAGCAGAACCATCAATGCTACTAAACAATAATTTTAAGTGACCAATGAAAAATCAACTACCTTTTTTAACACAAAATATCAAAGATCCTATAAGAAATTACTCAGTTTCTAAATATGCTGTCAAGTTTAACAATGATGGTTTACATAAACTCAGAGTGATTGCCCCAGAAGCAGCTTTTTTACTAGTGTAGTTGGTTTAGCACCATATTGGATCATTATTTTAGTGATAACACTGCAATTGCTGACGAAAATGATACAAATTTATCAGCAGAGCCAATTACTTCTTTGTTTGACAATGATGCAAATATTCTTGACAAATCTTTGCTTTGAGAATATTGCTTATTGAAGTTTAACGAATATAAGAACAGTTATTCTCAATTCAACTTTAACTTATTGGCAGAAGTGAGTAAAACTCAAAACCTGTCGAATAGGAAAACCTGTGAAAATTGCATCGAGCTAGTAGAATTACAGCATCCAGTTTCCATAAAGTTGTAAATAAAAAACTACAAAGTTTAAAAACTTTGTTTTCAATATAATGAACTACATAGCTTCGCCAAATCGTCCCTCAGTATTATCTTGTTCTATCTATAAATGTAATAAATAAAATGTTTCATCTAATATATAAAATAAATTACATGTTTTTTATATAAGATAGAACATTTTATTTATTACATTTGTAGATAGAACAAGATAATACTGAGGGGACAAAATATAGCAAGTGTTATTTATCGTAGAGAAATGGAGGAAAAAATACCTTGTTTTTATATTAAATTATTAAAAAAAAAAAATCACAACAATTTCAAATTGGAAACAATTGATATTCATATCCAAGCTAATTATCGATAATAGAAGCATTGCCAGATACTCCTAAATACGGAAGAATTATTAAATGCTTTTGAATGCTAAAATATTTTACTATGATTTTTAAACATTTAGTTTACAATTAAATGTTTAAAAATCAAGTGTCCCTGAAAATATAGTGAAGTTTTAAGTTGTTGGAAAAAGGGATAAAGATTTTTCTGTAAGTGAAAATGATAATTTTAAAACAAGCCATAAGTATTATACTCAAATACAAGGACAAAATGATGGTTTTAGATGTAGAATTTTGTGACTTTTTTATTTGGACACCCTTAGAAAATGAATAAAACTACCTATTAGTTAGAGTTTATTGAGGTGAAAAATTCATTAATGAGACAAGGCAGGCATTGCACAAATATTATTTTGAATACATTTTACCAGAATGTATAGCAAGAGGAAACAATATTTGTCATAGCAATAAGCAGAAAAACTATTGCATTTTTAAACACCCATGTTTTAAACCTATGATTGCATGCAATAAACCTAGCGGTGCAATTGAATGGTTTCACTACTCATGCGTAAATGTAACTCGTGCTCCAAAAGGAATTTAGATTTGTCCAAATTGTTTAAAATAATAGTTTGTACTATTTAGTTTAAAAAAAAATTATTATTTATTAGACATTTTTTATTTCTGTACTACACTTTTATTTAAGTTTATAATTCCAGCTACTGAAATCATTATACTGTCAAGTAAATGATTTCAGTAAAAAAGTAACTTGGCTTACAGGTGTAGTTGATGGTAATAGTTGATGTAATTTTTTAAACGCCTAATAACTCTTTCTATATAGATTCTCATACGGGCAATTTGACAAGATAAATCAATGTCTTTTACAGCCATTTGATTTTTACATTTTGTAAATGCTGGTATTGTTAAAACAGCTTCTCTTGTTGCTAATTCATTTTCCACTAAAAATCTTCTATCAGCTTAAATACAATCTCCTTAAAAAAAACTTTATCTAAGAAACCTGACTTAATTGTGATTAGTTTGTCTGATGCTCGACCACCTCATCCAGATGACAAAAAACTTACAGCACCGGTTAGTGTTATGCCAATTAAATATTTAATGGTAATACGTGATTAATAGGTAGAGTAGGTTTGAGACCTAGCTGTTAAGTTATGTGGTCTTTCTATAAAAACTTCAGTGCAGTTCATTATACATACACAATTTTTGAAGTTTGTAAAACAATATGGTAAATTTGCTTTTATAGCATCTCATTCAGGCCACGCAATTAAATTGCACTATACATTAGCTAATTGTTTTATCCATAAGCATATAATTGTTTTATCCATAAGCAGTAAGAATTATTTTCGATATGATTCCTTCACTAATGTTAAATCTCAAAGTTAAATTTTTTTTTATATGTTCAAGTCTATACCTCATTAATAAAATTTAATTTTTGGTTTTCTAAGTACTAATTATTAAATAATAATTAATTAAATTAAATTAAATTAATTAAATAATAAAAAAGTTCTAATTGGCTTTACACAAGGTTTAACTTCTTGCAAAATCCATTCAAACAAAGCTGGTTTGCTAAATCCAGTAAAAAAGTTTAGTGCTTTTTCTTTAATATTATTATAGTCAATAATATTTTCCTTTGTAATCTTTAATTGTCTTTAAAATTTTTGCAATTTTTGTTGCAATTTTTGTATTTGTAATTTCTTCTTTTGCAAAATTCATTCTAAATAATTTTCTTTTTTTACAATTACTTCAGTTTGTGTGCTTAAAAATAAAAATATGTAAATAATATTAGTAAATTCTTAAGAAATTTTTTTTTTTAAAAAAGCAAATAGTTTAAAAGTTAATCAAAATTAATATAAGTTATATATCTGTGACACTAATTATAAAAAATTTAACTCACAAATTTATTATACTTGCTTTACCTTTTCAATAGTTTTGGGGTTTTCTCGTTCTCTAAAGGACAAATTAAACAGTCCTCTTCAATCAACTCATTAGTTTTTGTCTTGTTAAATGATCCGCCCTCGTGAGCCGGTAATATAGTCTTATTACCAGAAAGAGTTCGCTGCCTTTTGTTTGATCGTTCATAACGTTCTAAAAAAGCTTTAATTTGTTTTCCATTTGTATTTGATGACAGGGACATCCCTGTCATTTTGATGATAGGGACAATATAATTATCCCTGTCATCAATATGACAGCGATCATCAGATTTTTTTCCCAAAAAAAGTGAACCTCACAATATATAAGTAAAAATACTAAAGATTTAAATCAAAGAGTTTATTTATTTTTTATTATTCATATTGAAGTAAAAAAACAATACATGAAAGCTATTAGAACACAAAAAATACTGAATGGAAAACTAAAGGTCTTACCTATAGTAAAATGAGGACTACACAAACGAGCATTATTTATTTGTTTTTCGTTCCATTTTCTTCTTTTAATTGCTGCAAACTATTTTTCTCTTCCATTAACATTAGATCCAGATTTATTTGATGGTATTCGATAAAAGTTTAAATGAGCATTAGCTAATGTTCTTCTATTTGTGCATCTATAGGCACAACACACGTCAGGCATAATATTTTATAAAAATATATGATTATTAAAAAATATTTTGCTTAAGTTAAACTTTTCACTCCTATAATATTAGGTACGTGCCATGAAAGTTTTAAATTGATTAAATATTAGAATGTTTTATAAAATATAAAAAAATTAAAAATTAAATACTAGAATGTTATATAAAAATATAAAAATTTTTGATTTTTCACGTGATCCAAATCAAAATAGTCAATCCTTTTCCTCGACGTATTTTTTTAAACAATTTGCAATGGTAAAATCAATAAGAGCTTGGCTTAGCTATTCAATAAAACTAGATGCTGTTTATTGCGAAATTTATTGGATGTTTGTAATATAAGAAAAAAATAACAAAAATTGTTGTAAAGGTATTCGAGACTGGAAAAATTGATATCTACAAAATTTGAACACGAATCATAATCTAAACATCAGCCTGTCTGACATATAACATTTGGAAAAGTAATGCAGATATAGACATGTCAGCTGAAAACCTCGTAAAACAAGAAAAAGGATTTTAGATAGAAGTTCTGGATCAATTATTTCATGTATATCTCCTCATCTTTCGAATAACCCTTACATTAGCTAAAAGTAATATGGCATTTTGCGGTCATAACAAACTATCTGAAGAACCATATAACAGAATTTTTTGAGAAATTGCTTCTGTTCTAGGAGAATATGATTAATTTATGAAACATTTATCAAATAAACCAAAAGGGAAAATTAGATATATGAGTAGCACAATTTAAAATGAAATGAAATTTGGATGTATGGTAGAAGAAGAAATAACATAAAAAATAAAATCTACCCCATTTTGTGCATCATGACATGCACAAAAATTGTTTTAACAAAAAAGGATATGTTAAGTAGGGTTTGTTGATTTTTTTTTTTTTTTCAATTTCAAAAACGACAAGGTTAATTTTGGTGAAGAATTTTATGGAGATTACGAATCTGCAATTTTAAAAAATAATGTCTTGCTGGGTGGGTCAGCGTTGTTTTGAACGGAAACATGACTAGAATGTGACTAATTAACAGGACAAAATTATAACTAAAAAAAAAAAAAATTTCTAAAATTTTTGATTAACTCAATAAATGTTATGTTGAATTTTAAGAAAATTGATTATTTTGTTCAAAAAGTCATACAAAGAAATACAGAAAAGGAGTTTTTGCGAAGGGCATTTTAACAAATAT